ATTTCCCATTTTTCATTAATATAGGCTCTTCAGACTGCAATTCTACCCTTAAAGGTTGCTCCAAGAAATTTGTAAATCCTAGTTCTCCCGCAGATTCAGAAACCAATACTTGTGAGGCTTCCTTAACCTTTTTCTGTTGCTCCTTTTCTTTACAATTATATGTTGCACAGGTTATCCTCTGCTCCTCCATCTCAACTTGTTGAGGCCCCTCCAACTGAGATTTCCCAATTTTCATAAGTATAGGCTCTTCAGACTGCAATTCTACCTTCTTTTCTTCCAAAGCTTTAAACGTAATAGATGGCGATGAACATACCCCCAGGACCGAAGTGTAAAAGTCTTTTGCTTTAGAAACAGTATTAAGTCTATAACGTATCCCCAGGTAACTCACCACCATTCCAGTCGGAACATCCCATCTGAACAAGATTTGTCTCTTTTTAAGTTCATCTGCTAAAAAAGCAAACTCCTTTCTTCTTCTTAAAATTTTAGATGGGATCTCCTTTAAAATTATAACATCTTGTGAAGCAATTTGAAACCTCTTCTTATAAAAAGCTTGTATAATTTCGTTGTGCAGGGATCTTTTCCCAAAGTAAATTACCACATCTCTTGGCAAATTCTTTTGCTCTGCCACCACAGAGTTAACTCTAAATGTATTTTCAATTTCACTAAGTATTTCCTTTTTTTCTCTATTCAAAATCACAGCAAAGTCCTTTGCAACCATCTCTCTCAGGTCTTCTTGCACAGACTCGCTCAAGCCTCTGATTCTTAAAGCATATTCCATTTGTCTATGTTGAAGCATAAGAATCTCATCTTGAAAATTTTCCATCTCTTTTTCCATGCTTTCAACTTTTCCCTCCATCAATTCCACTTTTTCTACTACCTCTTCTACACGAGAGTTCAGCTTTTCAAGAACAGAGGCAACTCCTTTTAAAGCCAAAACTATCTCTTGCCTCAAAATCTTATTATTTTCCTCTAAAATCTCTTTCATTTCTCCCCTAATTTGAAATATAACATTTCCCATCATATCTTGCAAGTCCTTCACCATTATTGACTGTGCCAGGGAAGAGGGTGAAGCTATTGATTTAGGTTGTTGCGCTGATGATAACACCGAGGAAGAAACCACCTTAGGAGCTGTAGGAATTACTGGACGCTTTGGAGCCATCTTAAAAAAATCTTTACTCCTTCTTAAAAATTACAAAAATTAAACAAGAGAAAAAGAGAAACTAACTCCCCCCAAAAAAAAAATCAAAAAATCCTTCAAAAGGAAATCATTATAAGAAAAAAGGAGTTAAAAAAAGGAAAAAGGAGGAAGAAAAAAATAATTAAATAAAAAAATCCATTCCATTTTTTAAAAGTACAAAAAACAAAACAAAAAAGTTAAACAAAAGTAATAATGCTTCTAAAATCCAAACCCAACATCAAAAAACCCATTATAAATAATCAAATCCACATTCCATTCCAGTCATTAAAAAAAAAAGAAAGGGAAAAAAAAACACCGAAAAGCCTGCCGATCGCCATTTTACTTTCCCTTTCAACAAAGGAAAAAAAAAATAAATAAAAAGAGGGAATATAAAAGTAAAAGTAAATCTTTAAACTTAAAATCCAAATAAAATCAAAGAAAGCAAAAGCTAAATCCTCTACTCAGCTCTGTCCGCTTCTAAGAAAAACTCACCAGATCACTTTAATTGCGGAGGTGGTTGCAGCGGCTTGTTTTGTCCCTAGGGACAAAAGCAGCTGGGAAGTGGAGACAGTCTGAACTCCGTGGGAGCACTCTTTTCACCCCCCCAAAAAAAACCTTGGGGGTGCATAAGAGGCTCTACCACTGTTCAGACAACCCTCTTCCCCCCCCCTTTGCCCGGGAGGGGGATTTTGAACCTCTGAACAGCTGATGTCTGCTGTTCATAGCGATTCAAACACTTACCCAGGAGGACGGCTACAAAGTAGCCGCCATCGCGCGCGCAGATCCACCGGAAGTCCCAACCTGCCATTTCTTATCATCTCTTATTTCAAAAAACTTTTGTTCTCACCCTAGTTACAGTATTGTTATGTCTAACTAAACTCCTATGCACATTCCTCCTCCCCCCCCCAGTATCATCTAATTCCAACTCTAATTCTAAGAGTAAAACATAAGAAGGAAAATGGCTGCATCGCCATATGTTGTCAAAGCAAGAACCTCCGATGTTAGCAGCGTTGACATCGGCACCATTGAGGCACCAGATTGGACACTTAGGGGCCAAAGGGGGTGGCCCTCTTCTGGCCTGAGGATCAAATTCTGCACTGGTTTCTAATGCCATGGGATGGGTCTGTATCGGAGAGGGGTCTATAGCCAGGTGAGAAAGGTAATCAAGATTGACTCACCTTGACTTTCTTTGGCGTAAGTGAGAGGCAAGGGGGAAAAGATTAAGCTTTCAAGGTTCTCTGGGGTCCTGGGTGCTCTCTGAGCTTGGTGGTTTTCTTGCAGATGTTTCATGAACCAACTAAGGAACATCATCAGTGCTAGGAGGGAGGGGGTTTGCGGAGAGGAGGAGGAGGACTCAGAACTTGGCTGTTTTATTGTATCATGTTTCCCCGAAAATAAGACCCACCCAGAAAATAAGTCCTAGCATGATTTTTTAGCGTGTGCCTAATATACCCCCCCCCCAAATAAGCCTAGTTAAGAGCCCGTCCACTCCGTCCCACTGTCTGGTTGTTCAGCTTGTTTCATGAACAAACTAAGGAACATCATCAGTGCTAGGAGGGAGGGGATTTGTGGAGAGGAGGAGAAGGAGGAGGAGGAGGAGGAGGAGGAAGAGGAGGACGACCACCGAAGGGTCCTTGGTGCTCTCTGAGTTTGGTGGTTTTCTTGTAGACCTTTCATGACCGAACTAGGGAATATCATCAGGGCTAGGAGGGAGGGGGATATGCGGAGAGGAGGAGGAAAAGGAGGAGGAGGAAGAGGACTGTGGGGTCCATGGTGCTCTCTGAGCTGGGTTGTTTTCTTGCAGACATTTCATGACCCAACTAAGTAACATCATCAGTGCGAGAAGAGAGTGGGGTTTGTGGAGAGGAGGAGGAGGAGGAAGACGTTAGCGCTCTCTGAGCTTTTGCCAGGGGCAGAGTTACTTGCTGGGTTGTGTCACCAGCTCTGCAGTTGCAGCCCCAGCCATCTGGGTTGTCAAGCAAAACGCACAGCTGCTTTATCTCTGACTGCCTGCCGGGTTGAATTAGGAACCTCTGCTTTCTACAGTTAAGTCCTGCTGGTAAAATTTGTGCAACCAAAGATGGCACCGTCAGTGTGTGTGCATGTGTGTGTGAGGGGGGGGGAGGGAGATGGAGGGAGGGAGGGGGAGAGAAAGACGGAGGGGGGAGAGAGAGACTTACTGTCAAATTAAAAGCCAATTTGGGCCGTGAAGGGCAGGAGGCCGGAAGGCTTGGGAGGCACTAACCAGGCCCACCCTTGTGGGCTCCTTTGTGATATAGATATTTTTTGAAAGCAAAACTTATCTCAGTGTTTCTTAACCCCGCTTTCTAAGCCTTCTGCTTGGAGCAGCTGGTCAAATCAGCCATAGGGATGGAGAGCCAGTTTGATCTAGTGATTAAGGTACCAGGCTAGCAACTGGGAGATGGTGAGTTGAAATCCCGCCTTAGGCATGAAAGCCAGATGGATGACTTTGAGTCAACTACTAGGAGACGGTGAGTTCTAATCCCACCTTAGCCATGAAAACCGGCTGGGTGATTTTGGGCCAATCACCAGGAGATGGTGAGTTCTAGTCCCGCCTTAGCCATGAACGCTGGCTCGATGACTGGGTGACTTTGGGCCAATCACCAGGAGAGGGTGAGTTCTAGTCCTGCCTTAGGCATGAAAGCCAGCTGGGTAACTTTGGGCCAATCACCAGGAGACGGCGAGTGTTAGCCCTGTTTTAGGATTGAAAACCATCTAGGTGACCTTCAGCCAGTCACTCTCTTTCAGCCCATCCCACCCCACCGGGTTGTTGTGGGGAAAAAGAGGAAGAAGGAATATTCAGTCCTTTTGTTGCCTTAGGTTATTTATCATGATAATAAAGAGGGGATATAAATAAATTACATAAACTGTGGGTTTGTTGCTGCTAGATGCGAGGTAGGCATTGCTAGCAGAAATGAGTCCCAACCATGGATGCCCTGATTGAAGTGACTCCTTTCTTTTTCCTCCTCCTCCTCCACCTCCTCCTCCTCCTCACTCTTCCTCTTCCTTGTCCTCCTCCTTCTTTTCTCACTCTTCTCCTCTTCCTCTTCTTCTCACTCTTGTCCTCCTCTTCCTCTTCTTCCTCTTCTTCTTCCTCCTCCTCCTCTTCCTCTTCCTTGTCCTCTTCCTCCTCCTCCTCTTCTCACTCTTCCTCTTCCTCCTCCTCCTCTTCTCTCCTCCTCCTTTTCCTCTACCTCCTCCTCTTCCTTGTCCTCCTCCTCTTCTCACTTTTCTCCTCTTCTTCCTCTTCCTCTTCCCTCCTCCTCTTCCTCTTCCTCCTCCTCTTCTCTCCTCTTCCTCCTCCTCTTCCTTGTCCTCCTCCTTTTCTCACTCTTCTCCTCTTCCTCCTCCTCCTCTTCCTCCTCCTCCTCTTCTCACTCTTGTCCTCCTTTTCTTCTTCTTCCTCTTCTTCTTCTTTCTCCTCCTCTTCCCTCCTCCTCTTCCTCTTCCTTGTCCTCTTCCTCCTCCTCCTCCTCCTTTTCTCACTTTTCTCCTCCTCTTCTTCCTCTTCCCCTCCTCCTCTTCTCACTCTTGTCCTCCTCTTCCTCTTCCTCCTGTTCCCTCCTCCTCTTCCTCATCCTGCTCCTCTTCCTTCTCCTCCTCCTCCTTCTTCTCCTCCTCTTCCTTTTCCTCTTCCGCTTCCTCCTCCTCTTCCTCCTTGAACTTGTCCTCTTCTTCATCCTTCTTCTCCTCTTCTCACTCTTCTCCTCTTCCTCCTCCTCTTCCCTCCTCCTCCTCCTCCTCCTCCTCCTTGTCCTTTTCCTCACCCTCTTTCCTCCTCCTTCTCCTCCTCTTCCTCCAGATGATTTCATGAAGCAGAGCCGGGGGATGCTCCTGCTATACACCCTCAAGAACCCCTCTTTCCCCGAGTACGCCTTCCCCAGCGAGAGCGGGATCATGTGCCTTGACATCCACGTTGACTACCCCTACCTGATTGCGGTGGGTTTCTACGATGGCAACGTGGCCATCTACAACCTGAAGAAACCTTCTGCCACGCAGCCGGGCTACAAAAGCAGCAGCATGTCTGGGAAGCACACCGACCCCGTCTGGCAGGTAAAGACTGGGGCACTCAGCCCTTCCTCCTCCTCTGCCTCTCCGGCAGGCCTTCACGGAAAACTTGAGTTTATTGGTAGAATCTCAAGTCTGATAGAAAAGAATCTTTGTAGCTCAGTGTTGAACTTGGAGTCCTTGGCGCTTCTCCTGCTTGTTCTCTTGCAGACGTTTCATTACCGGACTAGGGAAAGTCATCAGTGCATCTGAAAGGCTTTGAGGATGTTAACTAGGTCACATCACCAGTGCTAGAAGGGAGTGGAGTTTGTGGAGAGGAGGAGGAGGAAGAGGAGGACTATGGAGTCCTTGGTCCTCTCTAAGCTTGGTTGTTTCCTTTCAGATGTTTCATTACCCAACTAGGTAACATCATCAGGTGCTAGAAGAGAAGGGTTCTGTGGAATGGAAGAGGGGGAGGAGGGGGAAAGAGGAAAAGGAGGAGGACTGTGGGGTCCCTGGTGCTCTCTGAGCTTCATTACCCAACTAGGTATCATAACTATTAAACAGAGAATCTTCTGCCTTCCATCAAAGATGTTCTTTGAAGACAGGAAGCAAATGCACAGCAGAATCTCTTTCTCTGTAATTATCTAGAGAGAGTTAAGGGCTCTTTCCAAGAAGTCCAGAATTTTCTACAGTGATAAACATATCACAACAAGACCTCATTTTTCCAGTGAGTTGGACTTCCCGGAAATGATGCTGAAGATCAAATGAGTGGAGTGTTACCAAATTCTGCATCATTAATTTAAACAGTGGAAGCCCAGTCCATTTTCTTGGAAACTGTCCATATGTTCTCATTTTAGTGTGTCATTTTAGAAATGGAAGCTTTGGGACCAAAGAGCTCAGTCTCTGCTTCAAAAATTAATTATCCAAATGATGGAGAGATGAAGTCCATTTCCCTATTCGGTCAATTATGGATGTGATTCACAAGCTGGCCTGTAGAGTCTTCATTAAAACCAACAAGAGACAACACAACAGCATTCATGCACAGCTTCATGTTGTGCACCAGTTCTGCCCATTCCTAGATTAGCAGGCTCCGCTGATTGTCACTCCTGCCCTTGTCACCTTCAGATTACCAGTCAGTCCTAGGAAGCCCTCCAGAAGTTGTGGGTGCTCCATTACTGAAGGCTTTTAAGAAGAGATTGGACAGCCAATTGTCCAGACTGGGGGGGGGGTTGGGCCACTAGAAGACCTCCAAGGTCCCTTCCAACTCTGTTATTCTGTTAATTAACTAGTGGAACTGTTTATCTCGAGATGTTGTGGGTTCTTTATCACGGGAGATTTTTAAGAAGAGACTGAACAACCACTTGTGTCAAATGGTATAGCGCAGTGGTTCTCAACCTTTTTAATGCCGCAACCCCCAACCGGTCGTAAGTCGAGGACTACTCAACCGGTCGTAAGTCGAGGACTACTCAACTGGTGCGGCACCGTTTGCAGAATGGGACTTTGGGTGGGCTCAGCAGGGCAGAGACAGCCTGGACAATTCCTATTGGCTTTTGAAAGCCAATAGAATTAGACTCTATTCAAGAGAGTCTATTCTATTGGCTTTCAAAAGCCAATAGAATAAAAGGGAGTAGCACGACTAAGGAAAAGGGGGGAAAAATGGCGGACTGCGTTGTTTGGCGACCCCCGTGAAATGGTCATTCGACCCCAAATGGGGTCCCGACCCACAGGTTGAGAACCACTGGTATAGCGTCTCCTGCCTGAGCAGGGGGTTGGATCAGAAGACCTCCAAGGTCCCTTCCAGATCCATCCTGATTGAAGGAGACAATGCCAAGCCACTTTTGAAATGGGGGGGAACGTTGGCAGTACAGGCAGTCTTTGAGACACAATTGAGAGGGGATGGGTGGGTGGATAAACAAACAAATAAACAAATACATAGATACACACTTACACACACACACGCACATAGATTAGAGAACAAAAGAAACTATATGATGCCATCAAGGGAGTCAAAGAATTGCAATGGAAATAGCAAGGAGAACCGAGGGCAGGTGGACAAGGCGGTCCTAGAATGGATCCCACTTGATCAAAAGCGTCCACGAAAGAGACCATAAGCAAAATGGATCAAGGACGTCAGCCAATCCTGAGGGCCCAACTGGCAAAAGAAAGCTCAGGACCATAGGGGTTAGAAACAGGCAGACCGACATCCTGCAGTGGATGGACAATGGCTAAAATGATGATGATGATGATGACGATGACATACATACATACCCTGTTTCCCTGAAAGTAAGGCCTACCCCAAAAATAAGCCCTAGCTTGATTTTGGGGGGTGGTGGGCCTAATATAAGCCCTATCCCAAAAATAAGCCCTAGTTTTAGGGTGAGGCATATACCTAAAAATCTTTATTCAAAACAACGTAGCTCATTTATAATCCCCAAAATTTTCTCAACTCCTTCATTTTAAACAAGGGTTGAATTACAATTCCTTCAATTCTCTTAGGTATTATTTTCTATCAGTGTGTCCTGCACACGGACATAAAAACATAAAAAAATAAAACAACAACAACAAAAAAGCAACTCCACAAAAAAATAAACAACCTTAATAAGATATTCTGAGTTACTGAAATAGTTTTGTATCAAACTCTGGTATCAACTCTTTGCTTTTAATATAAATGTAGCCAAATTCCAATTTAATCAGATTCCATTCAGATGGAAACAAATTTCCATTAAGTAGGTTAAAACATTTACAAATCTAAGCAAAACAATTCAGAGTCATTTCTTTTGGTTGATGGATATATAGGTGTATTCAAGTTCTTCTCATATTTCATTTGTTTAAAAAAATAACCTTATTTCTTGTTCAAGTAAAACTTCCTTTGTTCAACAATTACTGCCTCCTCTTTTGAATAAAAAAAATTACAAACTGACACTGCAAGAATGGGTATTAAATTTCACATCCACCCCCCCCACCTTCCTCAAACCAGAATTCTAAGCAGAAAAAAAATAGTTAAAAAGATCAGACCCCCCTTTTTCTTTCTGTCTCTCTCGCTCTTAAAGCAACACAGCCAGTGAAAAAAAGGAGACAGGGAAAATAAAGAAGAAATTACACAAAAATCTCACCACTAACAAAATAGTTTTCTCTTCTTCATATGCATTTTCCATGAATTCTCTCACACATCCTCCATGGGGCTACGCCGCAACGGTCGTAAGTGTGAAAGACGGTCAGGAGTCATTTTTTTTCGGCACCATTGTTAGCTTCGAAGGGTCACGAAACGGGTTGAGGAACATCTGTACTGCTTGCAAAAGCCACAGCTGCTTTTAAATATCTGATTTTTTTTTTCTTTCCTTCCCAGGTGAAGTGGCAGAAAGATGACATGGACAACAATTTGAATTTCTTCTCGGTCTCTTCAGATGGCCGCATCGTCTCCTGGACCTTGGTTAAGGTAAGGGAGGGCTCCCTCCCAGCTGGCCCTGTGTAGCTTTGGCCTTGACTCAAGGATGCTGTGGGCAGCTGTCTCTGTTCTGGAGGCAAAGCTGGGTTGATCCACAGCATCCAACCCCTGGTTTGTTGAGCAGCCAGAGCTGTGCTAAGCTACAACCCAGGCAAGAAAATTAGCCTGCGAACCAGAGCATGTATACTGTAATGCTAATTGGGAGTAAAATGTTGCAGCCAATTAACCAGTGGAACAACCTGCCCCCAGAAGCGGTGAATGCTCCAACACTGGAAGTTTTTAAGAAGAGACTGGACAGCCATTTGTCCGAAATAGTATAGGGTTTCCTGCCTGAGTAGGGGGTTGGACTAGATGACCTCCAAGGTCCCTTCCAACTTTATTATTATTATTATTATTATTATTATTATTATTGCCCCCCGCAACCAGCAGGCCACCTCCCAATGACCCATCACAAGACCCCCCCCTTGACATGACTCACACCTGACCCTTCACAAGACCCTCACTTGACACACCCACACCTGACCCATCACAGGACCTACTGACCGCAACACAAAGCCCTTCCAAGCAGAACACTTACACTGACGTCCCCTAAACTCCGCTGAAGATGTTACCTAGCTTGGTAACAAAACATTCGGAAACCAACCCACGAGCTCGGAGAACGAATCTTCACCCTCAGTGTTGTAGTTACCTAATAACAACAGCAATTGTAATAGCTGCTTTACAGCCCTCTCTAAGCAGTTTACAGAGTCAGCCCATTGCCCCCCAAAATCTGGGTCCTTATTTTACCGACCTCAGAAGGATGGCAGGCTGAGTCAAAATAGATAGATAGATAGATAGATAGATAGATAGATAGATAGATAGATAGGTAGGTAGGTAGGTAGTAGATCAGTGGTTCTCAACCTGTGGGTCGGGACCCCATTTGGGGTCGAACGACCATTTCACGGGGGTCGCCAAACAACGCAGTCCACCATTTTCCCCCCCTTTTCCTTAGCTGTGCTACTTCCTTTTATTCTATTGGCTTTTGAAAGCCAATAGAATAGACTCTCTTGAATAGAGTCTAATTCTATCGGCTTTCAAAAGCCAATAGGAATTGTCCAGGCTGTCTCTGCCCTGCTGAGCCCGCCAAAAGTCCCATTCTGCAAACGGTGCTGCACCAGTTGAGTAGTCCTCGACTTACGACCGGTTGAGTAGTCCTTGACTTATGACCGGTTGGGGGTCACGGCATTAAAAAGGTTGAGAACCACTGTAGTAGATAGATAGATAGATAGATAGATAGATAGATAGATAGATAGATAGATAGATAGATAGATAGATAGATAGATAGACAGACAGACAGACAGACAGCAATAGCGCTTAGACTTATATACCACTTCATAGGGCCTTTTACAGCCCTCTCTAAGCGGTTTACATAATCAGCCTCTTGCCCCAACAATCTGGATCCTCATTTTACCGACCTCGGAAGGATGGAAGGCCAAGTCAACCTTGAGCCGGTCAGGATCGAACTGCGAAACTGCAGTCAGCCAGCAGGCAGCAGAAGTAGCCTACAATATTACACTCTAACCACTGCGCCACCACGGCTCCTATAATAATAAATTCATTTCTCTGTGGACCTCTTCAACATGCCTGAAAACAAATGCTATTTGGGCATTTCTTGTTCGTACTGCAATCCTTTTTTAAAAAAATTAATTTTGTTAAAATAGTTATGAATACAGAAATACAAACGAAAATAGTAGGAAAATGAGGGAGGAAAAGGGGAAGGGAAAAGTGTGGGTCAAAGGGAAAAAAGAAAGTAAAGCCATTGACTGACTCTCTTTGGTGCAATAGAATAAGATAATAATATCAAACCTCAACTTTTTAGGCTCTCAAATACTGGAAGACAGTGTCATGTCACTCCTAACTGTTCTCTTCATTATGCTAGATATGGCTAGTTCCTTTAAAGCAGGGGTCTTCAAAGTTGGCCCTTTGATGACGTGTGGACTTCAACTCCCAGGATTCCTCAGCCAGTGTGCCTGGCTGAGGAATTCTGGGAGTTGACGTCCACACATCATAAAAGGGCCAAGTTTAAAGACCCCTGCTTTAGATCTATAACATTGAGCATTATATAAGTGGATTCTTGACTGGAAAAAATGTTAAATGAATTTTGCTCCATTTTACAACCATTCTTGCCTAGCGGACAATCACTTAAATATGAATCACCTGTGTGCTGCAGCTGCACAAAAAGGCCAACACAGTGCTAGGCTGCATTTACAGAATAATAGAATCAAGATCATGTGAAGTATTAATACCACTTTACAAGGCCATGGTAAGGCCACACTTGGAATGCTGCATCCAGTTTTGGTCACCATGATGTAAAAACAAAAATGCTGAGACTCTAGAAAGGGTGCAGAGAAGAGCAACAAGGATGATCAGGAGATCAGAGGCTAAACCATATAAAGAACAGTTACTGGAATTGGGTATGTCTAGTTTAATGAAAAAATGGACGAGAGGTGACATGATAGCAGTGTTCCAATATCTCAGGGGCTGCCCCAAAGAAGAGGGAGTCAAGCTATTCTCCAAAGCAACTGAAGGCAGGACAAGAAGCAACGGATGGAAACTAATCAAGGAGAGAAGCAATCTAGAACTAAGAAGAAATTTCCTGATAGCGAGAACAATTAATCAGTGGAACAACTTCCCTCTAGAAGTTGTGGGTGCTATAACACTGGAAGTTTTAAAGAAGAGATTGGACAACGATTTATCTGAAATGGTATAGGGTTTCCTGCCTGAGCAGGGGGTTGGACTAGAAGACCTCCAAGGTCTATTCTATTCTATTCTATTCTATTCTATTCTATTCTATTCTATTCTATTCTATTCTATTCTATTCTCTATTCTTTTCTATTTTCTATTTTCTATTTTATTCTGTTCTATTCTATTCTATTCTATTCTATTCTTGTTCATTCGATATTCCTCTTCTCTTCTCTTCTCTTCTCTTCTCTTCTCTTCCCTCCCCTTCCCTTCTACCCTACCCTACCCTACCCTACCCTATCCTATCCTATCCTATCCTATCTTAAAGTGAATCACTGCAGTTGTTCAATCAATCACATGGTCGTGAAGTGAATCTGGCTCCCCCATCGACTTTGCATGTCAGAAAGTCACAAAAGGGGATCACATGACCCCAGGATGCTGCAACCGTCATAAATATGAGTCACTTACCAAGCATCTGAATTTTGATCACATGACCCTGGGGATGCTGCAACGGTCCCAAGTGTGAAAAATGGAGTCTTCTCTGCCTTCGCCATCCCCTCTACAGCAGTCTACGGCTACTGACAGATTCTCAGATATATACTTACGTACGTCCTCAACTTCTTCCCCAATCCCCGTTGTGCAGAACTTATTCAGATTCCCCGCAGCCGTTTCCAAAAATAAAGACGTTGGGACGTTGTTCTTGAAATGAGAGAGCTGAGCTGTGCTTTGTCGGGAGGCTCTGATGGGGAGTGAACCTGTAATGCTGGGATTTTTTTTGTTTTCTCGCATTCATCCTTTTCAGGACTCTCTAAAGCCCAACAAAGGGAAAGATAGCAATTCCTAAGATGAAAAATCCTCACCGTCTAAGCTCAGCCTGCTCTGGTTAAAAAGAAAAGAATTGTAGCCCTTTAGATGTATGATTGTTTTGGCTGACTTCATGCCGTGCTAAGCCATAGCTTGTTGAATCGTTATTGCTGTGCATCTCAGTTGGCTTGGGTCCCATATCACTGATCCGTAATGCCATGTGGAACAAATTATGCTAAGCCAAAACCAACCAAGCTACATATAGGCATATAGGCAGCGTTTGAATAAAGATTTTTCTATTTATTTGGCGACTATGAATCCTTCGCTGGAGCCCTAAGTGTCTCGTGGAAGCCAGCTTGGCATAGTGATTAGGGCACAGGGCTAGAAAGCATGAGACTCTTAGTCCCACAATCAGGCGTGAAAACTGGCTGGGTGATTTTGAGCCTATTGCCAGGAGACGATGAGTTCTAGTCCTGCCTTAATCTTGAAATCCAGCTGGGCGACTTTGGGCCCATCACCAGGAGATCCTAGACTTGTCCAACTTTGGCAGTTTTAAGACTTTGGACTCCAAGTCCCAGAGTTCTCCAGCCAGCAGAAGGGAAATGAGATCTTATCAAGGGATCCTTGGTGCTCTCTGAACTTGGTTGTTGACATTTTACGATTCAACTAGGTAACATCATCAGTGCTAGAAGGGAGTGGGGTTTGTGGGGAGGGGGAGGAGGAGGAGGAGGAGGAGGAGGAGGAGGAGGAGGAGGAGGAGGAGGAGGAAAGGACAGTGGGGTCCTTGGTGGTCTCTGAGCTTGATAGCTTTCTTGCAGATGTTTCATTATCCAACTAGGTAACATCATCAGTGCTAGAAGGGAGAGGGGTTTGTGGAGAGGGGGAGGGGAGGAGGAGGAGGAGGAGGAGGAGGAGGAGGAGGAAGAGGAGGAAAAAGAGGACAGTGGGGTCCTTGGTGCTCTCTGAGCTTGGTTGTTTTCTTGCAGATGTTTCATTATCCAACTAGGGAACATCATCAGTACTAGAAGGGAGAGGGGTTTGCTCTCTGTATATATATCCCGGTGGCTTGCCCTGTCACTGTTGATGGGAATATTAAATGAACCAAGAGCATACCCGACTCCCTTCAAGCAATGATGATGTTGCCTGGTTGGGTAGTGCAGGCTGGCTGGGGAATTCTGGGATTTGAAGTCCGCAAGTCTTAAAAGTTGCCAAGATTGGACATCCCTGACCTAGATGCATGTATGATAGGACACTGTGGAACGTGTAGGACAAGGGCAAGCAACCTTGGCTCTTTTATGACTGGTGGACTTCAACTCCCAGAATTCCTGAGCCAGCCATGTTGAGGGGAAAGGGAGAGGTTTGCAAGCTGAGCCATGTTGGCTCAGGAATTCTGTGAGTTGAAGTCCACGAGTCCTAAAAGAGCCAAGGTTGCCTACCCCTGGTGTAGGATGTACAAGGTTCCCATTACCACTGTGTCTTCATAAGTTATTGGACCCCTTCAGGAAGCATTCAGCACATCCCTCCTCTTCTTTGCTTTTAAATCCCTTGGAAAACGTTTTGTTGGGAAGGTTTGTCTTGTTGATGTCCTGCTGTCCACCTGGCTCTGACCTTTCTTCTCCCAACAGAATGAACTGGTCCACACAGACATCATCAAGCTGCTGGTTGAAGGAGCGACAGTGGAGGGGCCGGAGGGGCTGCAGCTTCAAACCATGGGTACAGGCTCCGATTGAAGAGAAACCTTTGTAGCTCAGGGGTCCTTGGTGCTCGCTGAACTTTCTTGCAGACATTTCGTGACCCAGCTAGGTGACACCATCAGTGCTAGAAGGGAGGGGGGAGTTGTGGGGCGGGGGACGTGGAGGAGGAGGAGGATGTCATCATCTTTGGCGTCCTTAATGCTCTCTGGCCTTAGTGATTTTCTTGCAAACTTTTTATTATCCAACTAGGTGACATCATCAATGCTAGAAGAGGAGGGATTGTGCTGGAAGTTTTTAAAAAGAGACTGGACCCTCACCTGTCTGAGATGGTATAGGTCCTCTTGCTTGAGCAGGGGGCTGGACTAGAAGACCTCCAAGGTCCCTTCCAGCTCTATTCTATTCTATTCTATTCTACTCCACTCTACTCTACTCTACTCTACTCTACTCTACTCTACTCTACTCTACTCGACATTCTATTCTATTCTACTCTACTCTACTCTACTCTATATTCTATTCTATTCTATTCTATTCTATTCTATTCTATTCTATTCTATTCTATTCTATTCTATTCTATTCTATACTCTACTCGACTCGACTCGACATTCTATTCTATTCTATTCTATTCTATTCTATTCTATTCTATTCTATTCTACTCTACTCTACTCGACATTCTATTCTATTCTATTCTATTCTACTCTACTCTACTCGACATTCTATTCTATTCTATTCTATTTACTCTACTCTACTCTACTCTACTCGACATTCTATTCTACTCTACTCTACTCTACTCTACATTCTATTCTATTCTATTCTATTCTATTCTATTCTATTCTATTCTATTCTATTCTATTCTATTCTAAAATACATGAAGCAGAGGAGGAGGAAGTCCCCCCTCCTCTCTGCAAACACCACTCCCTTCTAGCACTGATGATGTTCCCTAGTTGGATGATGAAATGTCTGCAAGAAAACAACCAAGCTCGGAGACCACCAAGGACCCCACAGTCGTCCTCCTCCTCCTCCTCCATCATCATCCCACAACCCCCCTCCCTTCTAGCACTGATAATTTTCCCAGCTGGGTGATGTAATATCTCCAAGAAAACAGCCAAGCTCAGAGACCACTACGGACTCCTTGATACAGTTTGAATTTCCCTTCGTTTCCTATGTTATTGGCACCAAAAGCAGTAATTGGGGACAGGATTCTGTTAACAGCCTCCCATATCAGCAAGGGGTAGAACATTCTGGTGAGCAGTGAGAGAAACAAGAGGCCTCTCTTGATTGGAAGGTCTTCAGACGAGTCAAAGGATCGTTTCTTTAAGTCTCTAAAAATGACCTAACCTCGATTGAGTCCCTTTAATCACATGAAGCAGCCTCTGGTAGCTCAGGAATTCTAGCTCAAGAGATGTATGGCTTCCTTTGGTATGGGGAAATCCCTGAGCAAATTCCCATGAAAATAAAAAGGCAACTAAAGGCCCAACCACGTCTTTGTGAGGTTGGCCATCTTCTTACACATTGCTGGTGAGTGTGGTGGTAGACTGAGGAAGGGTAGACAGACAAACAGCTGGTTCCCTGGCAGATGTGGTCCTCCCATCATCTGATGTTTCTATCAGTTAGCTCAAAAGAACTCTACAGTATATTTAGCAAACGCCTCATGTTGAGCAAAACCCAGCAGAAATGTGTTCCCCAAATATTTTGCAGCCTTATTTATATATTTTTTTTGTTGGTTTTCCATACAGGCTGTGGGACTTCCTTTGATTTCCACAAGAAGATTGATTATCTGTTCCTCGTGGGTACTGAGGAAGGCAAAATCTACAAGGTAAGAGAGACTTTCTTGTTGTATTTTCTGGTCAAGGGAACACAGCTGGCCTTTCCTGTTAAGCAAAATGTCTCAGAGATCTATGAGCCTCCCCTAAATAGAGCGGGTAAATATCTCCCAACAGGGAAGTGCTAGAAAAATTGTGAATGCATGAATGGGGGGACATGATAGCAGTCTTCCAATATCTCAGGGGCTGCCCCAAAGAAGAGAGAGTCAAGCTATTCTCCAAAGCACCTGAAGGCAGGACAAGAAGCAATGGGTGGAAACTAAGCAAGGAGAGAAGCAGCCTAGAACTAAGGAGAAACTTCCTGACACTTAGAACAATTAACCAGTGGAATAACCTGCCTCCAGAAGCGATGAATGCTCCAACACTGGAAGTTTTTAAGAAGAGACTGGATAGCCATTTGTCTGATATGGTATAGGCTTTCCTGCCTGAGCAGGGGGTTGGACTCGATGACTTCCAAGATCTCATCCAACTTTATTATTATTGTTGTTGTTGTTGTTGTTGTTGTTGTTAGAGTAGAATAGAATAGAATAGAATAGAATAGAATAGAATAGAATAGAATAGAATATTATGGATCATCGCACAGTCAGCCAGATGTTCAGACTGGGTTTGGCATTTTGTCTACCTATCGAGTCCTTACCCAGGACCTGGGATAGGCAGATGTGGATGTTTGATGGTATTACAGATATCGTCGCAGGATGGAAGCAGTTCCTAGTAAGGCTGCCTTTTGCAATTGACTAATAGCGAATTTGTCAATGCCAATGGTGTTCAAGTGGTGCTCCAGTTGTTTTGGGATTGCACCCAAGGAGCCTATTACTATTGGTACTACCCTTGCTTGCTTTTGCCACAGTCTTTCTATTTCTATTTGTAGGTCTTTGTATTTTGTTATCTTCTCCAGTTCTTTCTCTTCTATTCTGCTATCTCCAGGCACTGCCACGTCCACTATCCAGACTTTTTTGTCTTTCTTATCAACAATTGTTAAGTCTGGGGTGTTATGTTGCAAGTGCTTGTCTGTTTGAATTCTGAAGTCCCAGAGCAGTTTAATTTTATCATTTTCTATGATTTTCTCTATTTTATGATCCCACTAGTTTTTGCTTACAGGCAAATGATATTTTTTGCTTACAGGCAAATGATATTTTGGCGACCCCCGTGAAATGGTCGTTCGACCCCAAATGGGTCCCGACCCAAAGCTGCACCATTGTTGCTACTTCGTCATGCCGCTGCTTGTAGTCAGTCTGGGCAATCTTCTTGCAACAGCTTACCAGGTGGTCCACTGTTTCTTCAGCTTCTTTGCATAGGCGGCACTTACTGTCTGTTGCTGTCTTCTCAATTTTGACTTTATATGCATTTGTCCTTAAGGCTTGGTCTTGTGCAGCCAGAATTAGTCCCTCGGTCTCTTTCTTCAATTTTCCTGCTCTTAGCCATTGCCAGGTCTTGTTATTATCTGCTTTCCCAGCTATTTTTTTAATGTATTGGCCATGTAGTGCTTTGTCTTCCCATGCCTCTATTCTTTTCTTCATTTGGTCTTTCTTGTAGGCCAGTTTGCTCTCTCCAGTAGTCAGTAAGCCTTAATATTATATTATTATCAATCATCGCACAGTCAGCCAGATGTTCAGACTGGATTTGGCATTTTGTCTACCTATCGAGTCCTTACCAAGGACCTGGGATAGGCAGATGTGGATGTTTGATGGTATTACAGGTATCGTCGCAGGATGGAAGCAGTTCCTAGTAAGGCCGCCTTTTGCAATTGACTAATAGCAAATTTGTCAATGCCAATGGTGTTCAAGTGGTGCTCCAGTTGTTTTGGGATTGCACCCAAGGAGCCTATGACTATTGGTACTACCCTTGCTTGCTTTTGCCACAGTCTTTCTATTTCTATTTGTAGGTCTTTGTATTTTGTTATCTTCTCCAGTTCTTTCTCTTCTATTCTGCTATCTCCAGGCACTGCCACGTCCACTATCCAGACTTTTTTGTCTTTCTTATCGACAATTGTTAAGTCTGGGGTGTTATGTTGCAGGTGCTTGTCTGTTTGAATTCTGAAGTCCCAGAGCAGTTTAATTTTATCATTTTCTATGACTTTCTCTATTTTATGATCCCACCAGTTTTTGCTTACAGGCAAATGATATTTTTTGCAGATCTTCCAATGCACCATTGTTGCTACTTTGTCATGCCGCTGCTTGTAATCAGTCTGTGCAATCTTCTTGCAACAGCTTACCAAGTGGTCCACTGTTTCTTCAGCTTCTTTGCATAGGCGGCACTTACTGTCTGTTGCTGTCTTCTCAATTTTGACTTTGTATGCATTTGTCCTTAAGGCTTGGTCTTGTGCAGCCAGAATTAGTCCCTCGGTCTCTTTCTTCAATTTTCCTGCTCTTAGCCATTGCCAGGTTTTATTATTATCTGCTTTCCCAGCTATTTTTTTCATGTATTGGCCATGTAGTGCTTTGTCTTCCCATGCCTCTATTCTTTTCTTCATTTGGTCTTTCTTGTAGGCCAGTTTGGTCTCTCCAGTAGTTAGTAAGCCTTCCTGATATACTAATTTCAGTGCATCTTCATCATTGTTCTTCAGATATTCTTCCAAAGCCATTTTTTCTTCTTCAACCATCTGATGTACTTGTAGCATTCCACGCCCACCTATTTGCCTTGGTAGATAAAGTCTATCAATGTCACTGCGTGGATGAAGGGCATGATTCATTGTCATTATTTTTCTGGTCTGCCTATCCATTGCTTTTAGTTCTGCTTGAGTCCAGTCCACTATTCCAGCTGTGTACCTAATGACTGGGATTGCCCAGGTGTTGATTGCCTTTATGGTATTTCCTCCATTGAGTTTGGATTTTAAGATCTTCTTCACTCTCTTGATGTATTCACCTCTAATCTTTTTCTTGACTTCAGTGTGCTTGATGTTGTCAGCTTGAAGGATACCCAAGTATTTGTAGTACTCTTCCTCATCCAGACTCTTAATGTTATTTTCGTGGGGCATCTTGATTCCTTCAGTTTTCACTATTTTTCCTTGTTTGATAGTAAGTGTGGCACATTTGTCCAAGCCAAACTCCATTACAATATCTTGGCTATATATACGGACAGTGTTGAGCAGCGATTCTATTTCAGATGATGTTTTTCCATACAGCTTCAGATCATCCATATAAAGGAGGTGGGATAGTCTGGCAGATGTTTTTGATGTTTGATAGCCATGTCCTGAGTTATTCAGTATTGTTGACAGAGGAAACAGTGCAATAACAAATAGTAATGGTGATAATGAATCTCCTTGAAATATTCCTCTCTTGATATTAACCTCTCCCAGCTTCTCACCATTGATCTGCAACTGTGTCTTCCATTGTGCCATCGATCTTTGCACAAATTTTCTGATGTTTCTACTTACTCCTGTTATTTCTAGGCACTTGATTATCCAATCATGTGGCAGAGAGTCAAATGCCTTTTTGTAGTCAATCCATGCCACATTCAGGTTGGTCTTCCTTCTCTTGCAGTTTTCCAAGATCATTTTGTCTATTAGGAGTTGATCTTTTGTTCCTCTGCTATTGGGGCGGTTTCCTTTCTGCTCAGGTGGAAAGAGATTGTTTTCAACTAGATGCTGTTGTACTGCATCAGCTACCACACCAGTTAGTAATTTGAAAGTTGTTGGTAAGCAGGTAATTGGCCTGTAGTTACCTGGTGTTGCCCCTTTTGCTGGATTTTTCATTATTAGGTAGGTTTTCCCAGTTGTTAGCCACTTTTCAATTTCTCCTCCTTGTAGTATATTGTTGAACTGTTTGGCAATGAGTGGGTGTATAACAGTTAGATGTTTCAACCAAAACCCATGCAGTTCATCTTCACCTGGTGCTGACCAATTTTTGATTTTCTTTGCTCTTTTTTCTACCATTTTTGTTGTTATTACTAGTTCTTTCATTTCAACTTCTGTTTTATTTGCATCCACCTCTTTTAACCAAGCCGCATCCTTGTTGTATTTCTTTGGGTTATCCCATATCTGCTTCCAGAACTGCACTGTTTCTTCCTTGTCAGGTACTGACTGATTCCTTGCAGTTTCTCCATTGATGGATTGGTAGAAACGTTTCTGATTGGATTGAAATTGGAGGTTCTGCCTATAGTTTGCAATTCGAGCTTCATATCTACTGATTTTCCTGGCTATAGCTGTTATTTGTTGCTTTATTATTTCCAGTGCTTCCTTGATCTTCCTTGTTTCTAAGTGGTATTTCTTGATTAGGTATTCTTTGGTCTTCTTGTTCTTCAGCTTCTTTTCTTTCATCTGTTCTAGCTTGCTTGCATGTGATCTTAACTTGCTGATCTTATTTTCTAGTCTAACCTTCCATTTTTCTGGTGCACTGTTTGTTTGTTTTTCTTTTTTGTTGATTTTACATCCCAGGTATTCTGTTATAACTGCAGCTGTGCTGTACATTAGTTGGTTTGTTTCTTGCAGTGAATTGGTGCTTAAACTTGCTATTGCAGTATTTGCATCTTTTAATGCTTGTGCTAGCTGTTTCTTTGGAACAAGCTTCAATGCAGGCAGCCTTATTCTGTTGTTTTTGTGCTGTTCTAGATGCTCAATTATTCTTTGTTTCAATTCTTTTATTTCTTTAGTTAGAGGGTTTTGTTCTTCCTGAGGAAGAGGTGCCTGGTTTCCAAATGAGAACAGTTGTATATCTCTACTGGATTCTTTCACTGCCAACTCCCCCTGGTTTGCCTCTACATTCTGAATTACTTCTTGTAAGGCTTTGATTTCTTTGCCCTGGGTAAACCTTTGCAGTTCGTCCAATTCTGTTTCTGTAAATACTTTATTTCGTGTTATAAATCGGCGTTGATCTGCTAGTCTCTGTTCTGTTATTTCTGATTCTGGATGTTGTTCTTTCCAGAATTGGTGCATTCGTTTTAGATATCCTCTTCTTGTTGGACTTGATCTGTAGTAACAGATCATTATTTCTTTGTTTTCCATCACTGTGTATCTGCGACGGGTAAACACCTTTTCTTCCAGTAGTTCTGCAGCTGC